TGAGCTATTGTAAGTTTTTGCAACTGCTAGTACTTTGAGTACTGAACTGATTATATGATACTGTACTATATTATTTGGATTATCCCTTAATTGAAAGACATTGCTGACTGACTGTTTTATCCGTGTATGACTTGGACTGTTTGATGGACTCTGATACCTCTATTTCCACGAAAGTAAAAGCCTATTTAAACTGCAGTGTCTCTGTATGCTGGTTTGTGTGATCTCCAACACAATTCTCACAACTCTTCTCTAAATGCACTCACTCTCCCAACGGGGAGCTTACCTAACAGAGTGGCCACGTTCAATCCATTCAAAACAATGCAACCATTGACCCAAAATGTCTAGGGAGATTCTCAGTCATCCAGGTCATGGTTGTCCCAAAAATGCTCTTTTCAAGAGGCAACTGGCCTTCAGTTCTGACTGAAGAAGCTTCTTGGATAAAAAGCAAAATGTCTTCAAGGGAAAAAAAATGACTTCAAGGCCAGTTGTCTCTTGAAAAAGACACCTTTGGAACATTGACCCCAAAAAACTAGCAGGCTTCTGCTTTTGACAACACTAACCATGTGAAATGTTATCTATATATGTTTTTTAAAAAACATTTCCTCTGCACCTCTTTAGGAGAGATAACAGGGATGAGAAAGAATCACAACCTTAAAACTCTTCAACAAAGCACCAACAGACAAATCATGCTGAACCAATCAATTGAATGAATATCTTATGCTAACTAAGAGAAAAAGCTTTAAAAAGCCATGACCACTTGGTTTTTCTTGGATAGCAGATTGGTTGGTATGGCTTATTGGCAAGATTAGCCTTTTCTGTGAATGATGGATTATGTACTACTTGTGGAACAATTACAAAAAAGTGATTATTTATTATTACTTAATAGAAAAGTAGAATTATACCCAATTCTCTAACATAGCAACACTCTGTCCTTTCAAAAGAAATGTCCTTAAATAAATTATAACAAACAATAAAACAATTATTCCCCAAGTAGACAGAATTTATAGAAGTCATCAAATTTACTGGCCAACTACAGGTAGTCGTTAATTTACAACTGCTTGAAGTTACAACGGCACTGAAAAAAATGACATATGACCATTTTTCAGACTTATGACTGAAAAAGCATCCCCATGGTCATGTGATTTATATTCAGATGCTTGGCAACTGACAGTGTCCCTGGGTCATGTGATCACCTTTTGCAACTTTCTTAACAAGCAAAGTCAATGGGGAAACTAGATTCACTTAACAACTGGATTACTAATTTAACAACTGCAGTGATTCACTTAACAAATATGGCAAGAAAAAGTTGTAAAATGAGGCAAAGCTCACTTAACAAATGTCTCACTTAGCAACATAAATTTTGGGCTCAATTGTGGTCGTACGTTTAGGACTACCTGTACTGTATTCATATCAATATCAAAAAGCACATTGTGCCTCCTCCTTCCAGCTTTGTACATGCAGTACTGTATATGGAAAGGAAACTGGAATAGTGTTTGAAAGTCCATTGAATCTCCAAACTGCCTTTATATTCTTTTTTCTGTTTACAAATCTATCAACTGATTCAACTACAAGATTAGATCAATTTCTAATGTAACTGGCAATTTTGTTGAAACAGTTCTGCTCATTTACAGTAATTGGTAAAAGCATTTTCATTGTAAAAGGCAAAGACAAAAAAGACTGTAAACACTGAAAGGGTGGGGGAAAAGTAATCATTGATTGATAAGGTCATACTGACCAGAGAAGTTACTTCCTTCTGTATACTTACCAGGGGACTGACTGGTTCATGGAATGGAAGACTCAAGCTATTGCAGAACAGTGAAAGCACCAATTTTTCACACTTCTATAAAATACAAATCTACAATTAACCTATGTATAATAAATGGCTACATGAGCATTTATGTTCTGTACAAACATTTATACTGGCTTCAATCAAGAGTTTTTACACAGACATTTGAATTTCTTAATATTCCTAGTTTTTCATAGTATAATTCTAAAACAGGTTGATCTACGTGCAGCTCAAAAGAAATTCTTGGCTAGAGTCCACTCTTTCACTTCTATTGTTTTAGCATAATATCTATAGCACAATTCAGCGCACTGCAGTAATACAACTAGTTTACTTTACTGTAACATACTCTGAATGCAGTAGCCTTGATCCTATTAGCCTTTTGCAAGGCATGAAGTTGTTTCTCCAGGCATTCAGGACAGGAGGTTAGACTAGCTCTGCAGGTTTTGATTTGTGTTTTTGTGACTGGGGGTGATTGTTTTAATTTTGGGCATTGTGGATTATATGTTGGGGTTTGTGTTTTAATCTTTGTACATCACCTTGAATCACTATTATGACATGGTCAGCCGTACACATAATTTAAATAAACACATTCCAAGTTAAAAATTAGTACAATGTAAAAAATATCCTGCACATATTTTTCTTATCCCCTTTCATTTCATATTTGGATTTATTACATTTATTACATTTATAAATAAATGTAATAAAAGAGAAGAAAGCCAAAATAATTCAAAAACTGCTTAATTCATCTAGATAAAATTCAGTCCAGATCCTACTGTAACTCAAATCTGAGAACTCAGTTCTGCCCCGTTCTTAAAGAAGCTATTTCAGTGCTGTTTTCTGGGTCATGCAAACTTACTGAAAAGGGAAAATACATTATTGGCAAAGATAGATTTGTCATTAATATTGTTGCCTAGACCTACCTTTTGGTCATATTCACCAAGGCCATAAACTGGTCTTGCTTGCATGAGTGTATTATAGTCAAATCGTGTGTTTTCACAATCATAGACTACCTCTGGTGTTTCCACATTGCGACAAAGTGTGCACACCCATTCACCTCTGCAACACAAAAAAAAACAACAATATGCACATTGGGCTACTGTACAGTTTGATTAAAATGCCAATGGTAGACAATGACTTAACCAACATTCCATTAGACTTCAGATTTTTTAAAATCTGAAATACTAAATCAGGGAAGAATTTTCTTTTACTCATTACTCCTGGCAAAAAAAAAATCCATTGCAACAAATAATGTAGAAATCTATATAGATTATACATTCCTTAAGTTATTATAACAAGTTTAATAACATAGGGCAGACATAAACAGGATTCACAAACATCAGAAGCAAAGAAAAAGTTATGATATCCTTTCAAACATACTTTATTGTTTGTAGGAAATTAGATTGTAATAAGCTTAAAAAATACCCAAACAAGTCTTTTTAATGTTTCTCCAACTAGTTATTCTCAATGTTTGTCTTGTTTCTTTTCAAAAACAAAATTTCTGTTTGAAACACATACACTGTGTTAGATTTTTTTCTATAACGAGAGGTGGTATTCAGCAGGTTCTGACCAGTTCTGGAGAATCGGTAGCAGAAATTTTGAGTAATTCGAAGAACCAGTAAATACCACCTCTGACTGGCCCCGCCTCCATCTATTCTCTGTCTCCCAAGTCCCAGCTGAGGGAATGGGGATTCCCATTCCTTTATCCAATATCCTTTCTCTGCCATGCCCGCCATGCCACACCCACTAAGCCATGGCCACAGAACCAGTAGTAAAAAAATTTAAATCCCACTACTGATCCAAACTTAACATTGAGTAAGTTCTTATTTATTCAAGATTTCCAAACAAGCAAACCAAATTAACAGGAAAGAAGCACTAAAAGTAGCACATCAGTTTAAGGACAGGTGTTTAATATTTGGGTATGTATGTTCTAAAGCAGCTCACTTGCAAAGATCTAGCCCTAAAGGAGAGAACAGTTATTTCTAATTCTGTTATACTCACACAGGAAAACTAAGTAATGCAGGAACATGGCATGAAAGATGAAACACCTTTGGGCAGTAATCACAACACAAAAGTTCTCCTCCATTTAGGCAAACAGCACAAAAATCTTCATTCTCAATAGTGTGATCTTCATGAGGAAGCCCAGATTTCTTCATATTATTACTTAGCCTGTGATCTCCTGAAGGAAGTAACACCTGTTCAGTCAGCTGGCTTGTGAGGATCCTGCTTTTCTCCAGGTTTTCTTCAAGCTTAGGATTTAGACTTTCAGATGAATGTCCTTGATTGACCTGAGATGAAAAGGGAAAACATTTTCACAAAAAGTGCTTGATATACTACAGAAGCTTACATATAGTACATTTTCTGTAGAGAATGTAATATATTAGTTTCTTCTGAAGACTGGATATTGGGCAGGTTTCCTGAGGTTTCAATTTACATAATCTGGAGTTAACACTTATTATATAATTCATTAATTTTCATTAGTTTTAAATGGCCTAAACAACATAGTCATCGGCTAATTATAAAGCTAAAATGTTAGCATCTGAATGGAAGTATACCTTATAAGTTAGACATATAAACCAGTGGTGGGGTTCAAAATTTTTACTATCGGTTCTGTGGGTGTGGCTTGGTGGGCGTGGCAGTGGAAGGATATTGCAAAATCTCCATTCCCTCCCTACTCCAGGGGAAGGTTACTGCAAAATTCCCATTTCTTCCCAATCAGCTGGAACTTGGGAGGCAGAGAATAGATGGGGGCAGGGCCAGTCACAGGTAGTATTTACTGGTTCTCCAAATTACTCAAAATTTCCGCTACCAGTTCTCCAGAACTGGTTAGAACCTGCTGAATACCACCTCTGATATAAACCCTTCCTTATAGCCTAACTGGCCTTTTAATGAAAAAAAGACTCCTTCCATTTAAAGAGGGAAAGAGGTTCAATGAAGACACACTAAACATGGGCGTCAAACTCACGGTGTGACATTGCTGTCATGTCATGTGATGTGATGTTTCGCGATGTTTTTCCCTATTCATGGAGCTGGGGTGGCCATGGCTTGCATGTGACGCATCCGGCCCACTGGCTACCAATTTGACACCCCTGCCCATGATCCCCAGTAAATGCTACTAAATGCATTTGAATAAAATGAAAGAAAAAAACCCAAGTTAAGGCAGATAAATTGAATTTACCTTAATAGCCATGCTTGAAGACTGAGTACCACATTCAATAATCAACAGAAATGTCCCATCATGTGTACTTTTCTGTGGCTGCAATTTAAAAATTGGAAGCTCTCCAGATTCTGATGTGCATATCTTCAATCGTTCCAATCGCACATATGGAATTTTCACTTCTTTGGCACAAATTCTAAAAAGTGTTAAATAGTAGATCAACTTTATCAGTTCTATGGGTCATTCCTCTATCTTACCTTTATCACTGAAACACAATTCGGCAAATTAAGTCAAAATGTTCTATTTTGTTAATATTTAAATCAGTACTGATATTTTAACATTGTTTTTATTAATTTATCTTATATTTCCACACTATCATTTCTACACAATAGTAAGCTGTTAGCACATTTCCACACTCAAATAATTTTTATACTGACTCCATCTATTCGTAATTTTGGAATGATGTCTAGAGAGAAAAAAGAAATTATGATTTCTTACAATGCATATGAAGGAAATATCTGATTTTAAGAGACATATACAATTGCTTCAAAATTAGATAAATTAAAGTGAAAAATGGAGTTGTGTAATCATAGTATCATGTTATAATTTTTGCAGGATATATAATTCCTTTGAATTAGTGAGACATTTATGCCACTCCTATCTTATTAGGTATGGTACTAAACATAATAGCTAGATACATTTAGTATTCACATCTGCAGTTTTACAGACAAATTTAGTTTTCCATTAACTGTATAATTTGGATTAATTCATGTTTCATACATTTCTCTCCTCTAGAATTGCTTCATTCTACCTTGATTATATCAACACTCGATTAATTCCGATTTACATACTTTCTAAATGAAAAAAAATTATTTTCTTAAATTCCTTAAAGTTGTAGGATCCATTAATTCTGATTACCTGTTGTTCTCACTAGTTTTAATTTCCTTTTCAAAATGTTCTTCTTCACAGTTAGGACTATCTACAAGAAATAAAATGAGTAAAATAACACAAAGCTACCTTGATTAAAGAGAAGATTTTTTTTAGCAATCAAAATACAGACCTATAGTAAATTTCTCACAGAAGTACAGGTAGTTTTCAACTTCAATTTGTTTAATGATGGTTTGAAGCTACGATGATACTGAAAAAAATGACATACAACACATTCTTGAAGTTACAACTGTCTCTCTCTCTCTCTCTTTCACACACACACACACACACACACACACAGAGGGTTACAATTCAGACACTTGGCAACTGACTCACATTTACGACAATTGCAGCACCTTGTGATCACATGATTGGAAATTGTGATATATTTTTTTCCAGCCAGCTTATAACAAGTAAAGTCAGTTTGTGTGTGTAATTTGCTTAATAACTACCGGTATGTGGTTTGCTTAATGACCATGGCTGCAATAAAAATGGTTGTAATCAGGTCTGGTCACATGATTGCATCACAGTCATCAAAATTCTAGTCCCGATTTTCATAAATTCAGGATTATCTGTAAGATTTGCTCCAATGGAATCCACTGGAACATGAACAGGTGTATTCCACAGAATTTCTTACTGTTGTCTCAAAATATTTCTTAGTTCAAAAGATGTGAACAAGGTATTGAGAAAGTTGCATACAGGACAAAGATAGCTACATTTTGACGACGATGTTCAGATAACATGAATATCAGAAGTTGTAATTCTGGGCTTTTTAAAAAAAAAGTATGTCACATTTACTGGACTTTGATTGGTATGCATATCCTTAATTCCTTGCTTCCATAGTCCATTAACAGAGAAATCATGTAAGAAGAGAAAATTCATGGCAGAACAGCTCCAAATGCTTGTTCAATTGATGCTCCAAAAACTATAAAGAAGGAGGGTGAGTTTTTGCTTTAAACTTAATCCACTGTTTGCTTTTAACATTTACAACAGTTCCAGGGATTTTCTCCAATTACAGGAGAATATTGAGAAATAAGGGCTTTGTATCCAGCAGATACTGACTCTGCTTTAATATGTCACTCAGGTGATCGTTTTAGTTCCTCACACAGCTATATTGGTGGAGCTCATCCCTGGAAGTCAAAGGGAATTTGACGTTTTCTTTCCTGTCAGCATGCAAATTTCTATATTCGTTCATAGGAAAACTTAGAATATCTATGATTCTTGAAACTTCTTAGGGATTATAGGATTGTATTCTAATACATGAGGCAGGAAGGGCTGGAACAAAATGTTCTTGGACTCTATTAATATAGAGATTGTTTTGTTTTTCTTTATACTTATGAATCTGCTTTTGTGTTTTCCCGAAGAAGGGGGCATTGCTAATCTTATTTATAATACTGACCATCATTAAGTGTCAATATGTTTACCTCAGAAAGTAAATGCTTTTTACAAAAATCTTTATTAATAAAGCAACATTACAAAAATTAAGATACATTTAACATATAACATATCTAAAAATAGACTGATCTATTCACAAAGTTTCCCTATTTCTGACCAGACACAAGTCTAAAATCTTATCAACTCTCAATTATGAATCTTAAATTCATAAAGTTATTATCTGAGAGCACAAGTCCTCCACTGGCAACAACGTTAGTGTCTGGAGGAAGCTAGGAGCTTGGTGGTTTTCCAACGGCCTTTGCTGTCAGCAAGGAGCACTGCTGGGGTGTGATCCAACCACGGTGAAGACCTTTACTGCATTCAAGCAGGCGGAAATCTGCTGGTAGTTCTCCTTCCGGCAGTAGTCAGCAGGAAGCCACAAAATGGGTGTTCTGGGGTGGGGGCAGGGAAGAGTCAGTTTTAGGTCTACTGGATACAAAGCCATCCTATTCTCTCAAATGGACCTAATTGGTCCTGTCAGCTATACCAACCCTGGAGTTGTCATAAATAATAGCCCTTCCCTAAATGGGAAAGGAGAATATTATAAATTCAAAGATCCACTGGGGCAAAAAAGCTAAAGGAAAAAAAACGGTTCTGTCTGAGATAAGACAGCAGAGCTTAAGATATAGCAGAATTCAATAGCAGTTTCATTCTGAAAGAATTGCCATCAATGGTATCCTTGTATAGAAAATACATATAGCCTAATTTGGATGTTACTAGAGCCTGAATGACAGTTGGCAGATCTGTTGAAAATGTCTATTCATTCTACAAAATTACATCACTTTTACATTCCGTAAACTGGCCTTACAATACTAGTTAATCACAATGAATAAAATATGCAAAGGAGGATGATCAAGTGATGGTGATGGTATCTGGATGCTTCCAAAATATCATTCTTGAATAGCCAAACTCCCTGCTACCTTTTATATCTTAATGCATAATAAACTTTTCTCTGCTACTTCTCTTCTCAGCAGTAGTATAACATTACTGATAACATTTAAAATTGTATTGTATCATTTTTTTTTACTTATTATGTTATCAGGCTCATTCAAATTAACAGATCTCTAATATACGGTAATAGATCTCTAATATTAAATCAAGCCTAGACAAATATTCTATTTGTCCTATTATTAGCAGGGAAGTTGATTCATGTTTACTAAAGGCCAGTATAGTGGACTTTAATAGAAAACATGGGACAATTACAGAAATTATAATTTAATTTATGGTTTCTCATTATAAAACATTTGTATTTTCAGCAGCAAATCTTGAAATAATTATGCTATGCAATATATGATTTTAAACATCTATGAAATAAAAAGAAAAGTCTGGTACCTTCAGTGTGTCCTGGTTTGGGATTAACAGATTGCATGAAGGTTGTATTGCTGATAAGTAAGGGAGGGGAAGTACATGGCTGAGTTTTCTTCACTGAGAGATTAATAGGCTCTTCCAGAATATTTTGTAAAGGAAGAGCCATTTCATTCATGGCTTTTGATTGCGCAGTGACAATATTGCTCCCAAGAGGATAACTCACATGGCTAAACTCTTCATTTTCCAGCTGGTAATTGAAGAGAAAAAAATAAAATTTGCAAAATATTTTATACATCAACAAAATAATCAATATAAAAGCAGAATTATTTTATTCCATCTCAGAATGCTTCACTCTGAGGGACACACAAGCATGAGTTCAAATAATTTAAGATCTTTGAAAACCACAGATCTACAAAAAAAATTCACAAATGTCTCAACTTCCTATCAGTATCAGGCTAATTCTATGTGGCAACGGCAAATTACTTATTTAACACTGCCAATAAAATTCCTTGGAATTGTTCATGAAAATCCAAAGTCAAACTTTTCTTTGAAGGAGACTTTTAACTTTTTACCATAAGAACAGAAAAGTCACGCAAGGATTCTAGTGATCTCTATGTCAAGAAATAAGAAACTCTTGGCAGGAATTTGATCTGCATTGGAACTTTTGAAATTAACTGGGTTTATACAAAAGGCACCTTAGTACTGAAGTTCCAGATAACTTAAATGAGACTGCATAAAAATACTGACACAATTTTTAAGATTCTAACAAACTTAGCAGATATTTTTTCAGCTATGTGGTGGTTTAGCAAATAAACTAGAATGACCATTCTTGTGATTCCCCCCACCCCCCACCTCCCACTTCCGTCCCTACCAAATGATTATCTGATGTATAACTATTCTTACCTTGCAAACTGGGTTTACCAAAGGCATGCCACCAATTGCTAAATGTTCAATATTTTCAGAACTCAGGGTCCTCGTTCTATCCAAGGACAGATTATAAGTAGATACAGATTCAGGAAGCACTTCAGAGACGTGTGATACATTCTGGGGCAGGCTAGGTGTTGCACTGCAGATTTCTTTTGCCTGTGAATCAGCTTGTCTGGGTGCCCTTGATGAAGATAAATCAACCTCTAAAATGTTTGGAAAACCCACTATGTTCATTGAAGCTGACCGCTGGGGGAAGAGGGGAAGAAAAAAGACCATAGGAAGCTCAGTATTCATTGCAACATTAATTCTTTCACTATGAAGGTTTTTGTAGCTTGATTGCAATATTAAAATATTTAATTGTTTTATCTTGTTGAACACCATTCTGAATGTTTATCATAACAATGATCTATTTTAAATGTTTGAATCTACTAAAAGGTTCCTCAAATATCGGTCAACATATGTTTTTCTTAAAATTCATTCATTTATTCATGGACAAATCTCCTAACAGAAAAGATCTTTTGTCATCTCATATAAAAATAGAAAATGCTTCTTTTTGAAATTATACACACTTAAAACCCTCAGATATAAAATTTAAAAGCAAAATAAATGGCTTTTCACAATAATTATGTTAATAAAGTTGCAAGTACGTACGTAATCTTCAAGTAAATTTTACAAAATTATGATTTTTCAACAAGTTGTATTTTGATTTATTTTATATAGAAGGAAAGAAGATCGGTTTTTTTCTGTTATTATATCAATATGTTATTTTTCCTATGCTAGGGCACAATTTTTAATATAAAACTATTTGTTTTAAAATATTTGTATACTATTTCCTATTTTTAAAAAAATCTCAAAGCCATTAACAATAAAATTGCAATCTATCTTAACACCTGATTTAATTATATATTTGAGTATTTGAGTATTTATTGCCCCCAACAATCTGGGTCCTCATTTTACCCACCTCGGAAGGATGGAAGGCTGAGTCAACCCTGAGCCGGTGAGATTTGAACCGCTGAACTGCTGATCTAGCAGTAGCCTGCAGTGCTGCATTTAACCACTGCGCCACCTCGGCTCTTATGAAAATAAACAGCTTGAAAAACTGGTAAAGTTACTCTGATAAAGCCATAAGCTTATGTCAGGTGCATATTTAGCAATGTAGCAAGATTTAGGATTTAGCCACGAATGACTACAATCGTCAACATATTTTGAAACCTCACATCTGTAATAGTGTGAAAGCTTTTTGTTATAAATTATACAAAATTTAATCTTACAATTCTAGTACTTGGGGCAGAGAGAGGGAAAGAGAAGACTCCAAAAGTGCTATACCTGTCCTGTTTTTTATGCTGTTTCACATTAAAATAAATGGTTAAACAACACAAGAGACATGTGGCCAGAATTCCTCAGTGGAATATGAATCACCTGCACTGGTTCAAAAGCTTGACTGAGCCTCCACATATGATAACAATGGCACTATGTTGTAGATTTTAAATGTAAAAAAATAAATAAATGTACATTGAAAGATTACGTGTAGGCTTTTCTTTTTCAAAGAAAATAATAACATGCATAGATTTACTGCATCATTAAAAAAACATCCTGGAAAGGACACATTTTACTAAAAGAGCCAAGATAATGAATGAAATTACACAATTTTATTGTAATTAATTTCAATTGCTCTGATAATTCTTGTTCGCTCTCTAAATATTTGTTTTTTCTAAACCCAAGACAAGTATTCCTGTTAAATCATTCTGAGCTCAATTTTCAGTTTAAAGATTTCTCAGACAGTCATAATCCTGTACAGATGGTCTTCATATGACACTGCACTTGCACATATGCTGGTCATATAATAGTTATTTCAGATAGTATTTTTATAAGAGCGAAGTGAAGCAATTATTATTATTATTATTATTATTATTATTATGTGGTACCTAAATGATCAGTGTTTGCATGTGTGGTAAGCTTGAGGAGAATGAAAATGAAAGTTGAGTAGTACTGCTATTGGGCTCATTTGATGCTTTGGGTTCTTAACAAGTCACCAGTCACATGCCTGATGCTTATGTCATCATAGCAATTGGAAGCAAAGTACAAATAATTATCACCATCTTTATGCACAATATAATTTTCTAACAACATATCCATGTTTGATATGCTTACATATATCTTAATGAGTTGCACATGACTATATTTTTATATATCATCCACACATTACCAAATACAATAGAATTTTTGTTACAAAACTACAATGTTTAGCTGAACAGTCGATATTATTGTATACGTAGTGATATTTCTCCCAGAAGCACTGACACTGAGAATGCAATGTACAATATCACTGGGAACTATCACATGAAGTTCCTCATCTTCCCTCCTGTGTTCATGACACAATTGCTTTCTCAAGCTATCAAAGTTTAACCTCTTCTTTATACACAACCAACTGTACAAGATTGTATGTCTAACCAACATTTCAGAAACAAATGGCAGCATGACTATAGCCCCATCTATTGGGCTAGGATGGAATCTCCTTGTGTTCTTAAGAGTTGCTGTCAATTTGCTTTTGCCAAATTATATTTTCAATCATTGCTTGCAATAGTTCTGAATATACTACTGCACTCTGTCATATAAAGAATCTGAAAAACCCTGAAACTAAACACAGTTTCCAAATTTGCAAGTACATTATTTTTGGAATGTATCTACTATCTGCAGAAGGTGATTATATAAATATATCGGTTATTGGATTTGATTCATATGTAATCATAAAGTGGCATCTGCTAGCTGCAGTTACAGTGTTGCATGACAGTGCAGGAGGGATTGGCAACAACCAAATGGTACCAAACATACAAATACTCTTTAAATCTTTCTTAGGCATTTGGTTATCTTGTTTTTTTCAACTAGACTTTGCGAATGAAACATAGACTGCTTTCTATGAATAGGTGGCTTTAAAGTCATATATAGCAAAAAGCAATGTGCAGCTAGTCAGTTGAAAAATTCTCCCATCAGTTAGATAAAGTCCTAGCTCATTTAGCTGAACAAAATGATGTTGCTTGAAAGCATTTTAAATAATATTTTCTTTAAATTAATGTTAGTAGTGATTGAGTTTTAGATATTTTGCCAACTTGGTAATCTAAACCACTCCCTCCATTTTGCAATATCCTTCTTTAAAAGTTACTTCTTAAAAACTGAAAGACAAAAAACAAACCAAGGGACAAAAAATTGTTTGAACAATAGCATTATATTATTAAACTACATCCTTAAAATGTTGTCAGTAAAGCCTCCATGTTATTTTACTGATTTGAGAAAATGGTACATTTGAAAACACCAATGTTGAAACTATATTACTTCAGCTTTTTGCAATATGTCATTGAAGAAGAAATGTTTTTCTTTAAGAGGTTGATGTGTCTTTGCTGCTTCCCAGTTGGGGGAAAAGACAAATCCTACATAACTTCAGGCCAGAAAGCAGATTATTTTTTCAGTAGTTCCAAATAGTCTGTCTTTGATGAAAACATGTTGAGTATTTACTTAAGTCTATCCCTATGATATTTCCTAAACAAATAACTTCCAAATCAAGGCATCTAAAGTGATTGGCATTGGGGTGTCCAATCTTCTGAAGCTTTGAGAGACATACAGATATTCAGTTAATAATTGTAGTGAGTTGGTGTAAAATACAATAAATCATATTCTGTTGTATCAGACTGATTTAGTCATAGTTATCCTTAAGAGGTTTATGTTGACTTAGGGAAACTGCTGAAATAATAGAAGAGTCCATGGATTAATTTGATTCTAGCATGCAGTTGATTAAAAAGTGGTTGTTGATTATACCAGAAAGACCTGAGGTGATGTTTAGGCTTCCTGAGAAAACATAAATCACAATATTAGTCCCAAAAACCTCTTTTATTTATACAGCTGTGATTTATGGTCATTCACAGCCTACAAGGCTTCACAAACAGTCTGTGAAGATTCCGACAGATGTCTGCTCGAGTTGCCTCAGTCTTTCAGGAGAATGTTGATAAGCACGCCCCTTATCTCCCTTGAAATGCTGCCAGAGACCTAATTGCCTAATTAGTTTTGCAAAGCCAAACTTAGCACAGTCAAACAGAACTTCTCAAAGCTTGAACCGACCAGATGAACTAATTGCTTCCTGCAAAAGTTTATGTCCCGTTCACTCCTCCTTTATGTCTTATGGGAGAGGCCAATAATCTCCAAGCCTTACTCCCAAGTCAGTCCTGGTTTTTTTATTGTTCTTGCCTTCTGATACCTCTGTGCATGTGCACACTGGGAACAGGTTCCCTGCTGATGTGCACACTGGGAACAGGCTCGTCACTGATGTCAGACTCTGGAGGCTCCGGAGAAAGCAAATAACTATCACATGGCCTTGGCCCCCTCTATGCCTCTGATGCAGAGCCCTCGTCTGAGCCTTTCCCAGACTCCAGTATTGGCCCATGTTCCTCGCCAACCTCCTCACTGTCCCACTCGGCTGCCAGCTTCACAGGCCACCAGCGGACCACAACAGGTGACACCAGTTTGATATGCTGAACAAACTGACGAATTGCTTTAGACCCAACTGAATTCCAGTAATAGTTGGCTTTATATTCAGATGTTTTACAAAATCTATGAAGTAAGCCTGGTAGGGAGATGTTGAAGGTCCAGTAAGAGAAAAGGGCCAGATTGTTTCATATTTGGTTCATTATGTTCACCAATAAAAAGTCTTCTTCAAATCATATTTATAATCTGGTGATTTCATGGACATACAATATCCTTCATTGACATAATCTTAATTACAACAGTATAGAAGTTGTTATAGTTCGACAGATAGCTTGTCTAACATCTCTTTTCAGATGAAAAGCATAAAAGTCCATTCTTTAAATCAACTAATAACAATGTAAATAATTAGCCTGAAAAGCCATGGTAGAGTTAAACTCAGAAAGCATCAGACAAAGAAAATACTTGAGTGAATTCAGCGTGACAGCTTTCTTATCATGGGACTCAAATGATAGGTTTTTCTTTCTTGTGCATTATATCAAAAATGTAGAAGACTTCGTCCATCAGGTATCATCAGGGGATGAATTCCATTTGATCAGAATGGGTGTACTGGGTGTTGTTGTCCAATTTATTGGTTAAGACAGTTGTAAAGTTCTTCAGTTCTTCCTAATTAGTGAATGACATTGAGCAATAAGAGGCAATCGTAGCCTTCCTCTATTTTATCTATCAGTTGTTTCTATTACTTATGAACAGTATCTAATTAATCAAATATATGCGAAATTCTTCAGTGTTTTTCTATAAGAATTATATACAAATATGCCTTTTTGCTTTGCTTGCTCCTTTGCAAATGGTAATTGTCTGGCTCCAACAAATTCACTACTAAATTGCGTTTGTAAGTCATCCCTTCTTTATTATGTATAAGCATTTCATACTGGCCATGAAGTACACCATGGAAAAGAGAACAGAACAGAAGAAGACCAAGAACCTGAGAAGAGCTAACATCAAGGCTGACACATGAAGAGCTCAAGTTGCAATTCCAAGAACTGTCTCATTTTCATATCTGTCAACTTAAGTAAGCAGCTTTCAGAATGTTGTATTACTTATATTACAAAAGGAGATTCCATCATGCATGGCTGGAATTGAAACAACAATCACATATATAACAATCATTGGTACAGTCCTTAACGATTTATTTCTCTGTCGCTATACATGTAATATCAGGAAAAATACCTTGTGTGTGTTAAAAAACAAAATATATTTTACTAATACAAACCAATTAGTAAGGACAATTCTTCCTATGTGTCCACACCATAAACCTCCTTCCAACCTGTCTATATTGATATCAACATAAATGTATCATTTGTTATTGTCATTGAAGATAATTAATATATTACTCTTCTCAGCAACAGGGCAGGGAGACATCACTTGAGATTATGCAAAGAAGATTTAGATCATCTACCTCCTCAGCCTCAGAATCCTTAATAATCCACCAAATCCTTGTATTCCTCTCTCTTTTCTCTTCCTGTAAAATGTAGGGTAGGGGGCAAGGGCTATCTGAGCCATTTTCATACACCACTTTTTGGGCTGGACTCAAGGTTCATCTATCTGATCGTTGTCTTGCTAATAAGTTTTCCCTCTTCCCTTCAAGGCCATCTTTTGTACTCACTACAAACTATCATGCCTGGTGAACAGCGTCCCAGTTTGCATATGTCACTTTGCAGTCTTGCCTTCACAATAATACATAATACCTGGCTGCCACATTCATGGGGATTCTGAGATTTATAGCTCTGACAAATCAAGAATTTGGAAAGAGCTAAGCCACATGATAATTCCACAACCTGTGGAAGTAGGAACTAAAGAAAAACCATATGCCTCATCCTGATATCAGGGTTGTCATTCTTTTCTTCACTGCCTTTCTTACCTTTACAACAATCTCCAATTGATAGTATTTTTCTATATTACCCGTACATGTCAGATTTGTCAACATCATTGCTACAATTTTGTACGTTAATTAGAAGCCTTTAGTTATAAATTTTAATTATTCAAAAAAGAAACAAAAATATTTTTCCACATGAAGGAGCAATACTGAAGTTATTTTTTAATAAAAAATACAAGTAAACATAAGGCTTTAAAGTACCAGATCTTGCTTGATTTGTGATAATAAAGACAGAGTTGTCCAGAAAAGATAGAAGCTCCTACAAAATGTTTTGATTGTTAACTTATTGTATATTGGCTGCCTTTGCTAATTATTGTATTGAGTGTTGATTTGGTTTTAATAGTGGTTTAAAATGCTACATTGATAAAAGATTATCGTTATTCGCAGTATTATCTAACATTGCTTTGATTTTTTTTTCAGTTTTATATAATTTTAAAATCTCTTTTCAACTTCTCCCCCCCCCTTTTTTTTTTCTTGGTTATGCTTTCAAATAAGTAAAATAAAAATAAAATATTATTCTAAATATACAAATAAACAAAAATAATCTACGAAACAGCTCTAAAATATAAATGTCCATCCAGAAATTAATAACTCATAATTCATTGAAGATAGACCTTTGTGGATTTTTTCTGGTATAATTATATTTCAAAGATTCAAAGGTGTGGGTGGGGGGAAGTAATGATTCAGCTCTAGTTGTAATTCCAAGACAAATGGATTCAAAGTTGTACAATGTTATTTGTCAGCAGGGACAATAGAAATAGGCTGATATGAGAAAACATCAGGCTTTGAGAGAAATGCAGGCCATTATCTAGTACAGATAAAGCAGACTTTTATAAGAGCAGCAAACATTTGGGACAGTGCTTATGTTTTCCTTGCACTCATTTATTCCTTAGTGGATGAGTTAAACCTGTCCCACTCATGAAGAATTTAAAAATAAAAGTTGACCCAGGAGAATATGGAGGGTTGGATAACCATGAGCCCATATTAAAGTGCTCAGAGTTAAGGTGCTCTGTAACATCAGATATGTTACATTCCATATCCAGCACGATAATGAGCAGAGTTAAGGCTTGTGTTTGGCCATATTATAGAAACTAGCAGTTGAAAAAGTAAATGAAGGTTAGCTTTATCATCCCAAAAGTTGGCAGGCAATTGAATGAAATCATACACAAGATGCCGGTTATTCACGTCAAGGTCAGAGAGTTGGTTACACATTATTTCTGCCCATTTCCAATATTATCAATATATGGAAGTGAAATTGCAACAATGTACTGTCTGTAATCCTCCCAGCAGCAAAAAAGCCTCTGAATTTGCAAATCAAATCGAAGTACTGCATATTTATTAAATACTGCATATACATCGAATTGGCTCCTTGCTTCACCTTGTAAATCTGCTTTGATAGGGAGATTTGAGCATTTTTTTTGTCGAATCAAACTATCCTTTCAGAGTTTTATCTTGCCATAATGGATATCTAAAACAAACAAATAAGGCAATATAATACTAACCCTAACCTTAAAATGGCTTCAATTACTTTACAACAGAAATATCAAAATAATCTTGTCCAGAAAGCTCATCTAACAAATACTGTTTTTTTCCTATGTTTTACTTCATTCATAATGATAAATGTGCTTAGAAATAGCACAATATCGTGTATGGTTTCTACACACTTTTCTCCACCGAGGTGAAAAGTTCACCTTCAATTTTTATAAAGGTAGAGAAAGAGGGGATTTTTTTAAAGCAGTCATATAGATTAAAAAAAACAACACATTATTTTACAGGAAGGAAGGAAGGTTTACCTTTCTGACTGGACTCAATATACTCTCTGGAGATTGCCTGTTGACAGTAGCTTCATCTCCTGGCTGAGACATAGATGGAATCACATTTCTATCAAGAGGAAGTGCTGGTTTTTGACCTTCTGATTCAGCAGAATCTTCACCAATCTTTCATAAAGAAATAGTACATAGATAAAATAGTTTATTCAGTCAATGACCAGCAAAATAAATGAATAATAAGCACATGGCAACAAGATCACTAACAGTATATAAATAAGTATTTATATTATCCAAACAAATGGATACTTTTCAGGCTTCATATATACGTATATTCTGTGTTAACCTGCCTTCATTTGGCTGCCTAGATATTACCAATTTACTGTAGAAGCTGGTATCCATTTTGAGTTTCTTAAATGTCCTTACCCCAGCATTTCAGTGAACACATCATTTCTCAAATGAACTTCATAATTCTTTCAAAATTTTGAGGTGGCTTTTGACCGCACATAAAAGACATTTATGAGGTTACGGAAATCTGGGAGAGCACCAGTTGCTGGGAATCAGCAGAGTGGTAAAAATAGTCCCCAGATCCTATTTTTCTCAGTCATTTAGTTTGAATTTTTGTTGTTGTTACTTTTGTTTGTTCAACGTTATTATTTTTAAAAGAATATTATTTGAATTAAAACATGGTAAATCACACTGATTGCCTTTCAGCTGAAAATATATTAATAACTTTTATAAATAAAGATTGTGCTATCTTAAAATAACATTTCATTATTATTCACCTCTGAGACACTATTTTCATTCCACTGGTATTTTAAACTTATAATGTTATTTATGATGAAGAGGAAAATATTTCTTTTACAGAATATTCTCACATCATTTCCCCAGGTAATGAATCTGAGCATAAATTTTCCTCAAAATTGTTATTTGCCCCGGGAAAAATACCAGTTTTCCTCCAAGAAAAGGACTAACGTCTTGGGAAGATGAGTTTTATCCCAATTTTTTAATATAAAAAAGAAACTGCCCGAGGAGCTGCTGATACAGTTCTACAGAGGAATTATTGAGTCTGCCATCTGCACTTCTATAACTGTCTGGTTTGGTTCTGCAACCCAACAAGACAGACACAGACTTTAGAGGATAATTAGAACTGCAAAAAAAAACTATTACTGCCAACCTGTTTTCCAATGAGGACCTGTATACTGCACGAGTCAAAAAGAGGGCCGTGAAAATATTTACAGACCCCTCGCATTCTGGACAGAAAATGGTTTCAACTCCTAACCTCAAAATGACACTATAGAGCACTGCACACCAGAACAACTAGACATAAGAAGTTTTTTTTCCCGAATGCCATCACTCTGCTGAACAAATAATTCCCTCAACACTGTCAAACTATTTACTAAGTCTGCATTACTATTACTATTAATCTTCTCATCGTTCCTATCACCCATCTCCTCCCACTTATGACTGTATGACTGTAACTTTGTTGCTTGTATCCTTACGATTTATATTGATTGTTTCCTACTATGATTTGATTGCTTATTTGTACCCTATGACTATCATTAAGTGTTGTACCTTATGATTTGTGATGAATGTATCTTTTCTTTTATGTACACTGAGAGCATATGCACCAAAGACAAATTCCTTCTGTGTCCAATCACACTTGGCCAATAAAGAATTCTATTCTATTCTATTATAGCTCTTCAAATAATTTTTATAGTTATCCATTTGTTGTGCAAGAGTAGAGATTTACAGGTGGGATCTCTCCTCAATTTTGGGGGATTTTTTTCAACGAGATTACAAGGATGCTGATTTTAAATAAGTAATAAAATTGAAAACCATAAGAAATTTTGAAAGTGTTCAGTACAATAGAGCTCATATCCCAGGGATCTATGAAAATGATGGAAGTGAAATTAAAATGGTTTATACAAAAATGCCTTGTCTTCTAGGCAATACCCAAGAAGAAGTTGCAAAGAAAATTCAACTGTGGTTGCCTTTAAAAAAAAAAGCATAAATGGTAACAGTTTAAAGCAGAAGCATTAGTAACTTGATTGTGCGAGAAAGCCCAATCGTTGCAAAATCTGGACTAAATTTATTTTGAAACAACGTCATATGTAGGGGGAAAACAGTTTTAA